TATATATATAGGGAGAGAGAGAGAGAGAGAGATAGATATAAATGCATGCATACACATACCGGTATGTACATATGCCTATAGATACATCTATCTGTGCACACAATGTGCTCATATTCTTACCCATTCATGTGTATGCGTATATACATATTTGTGTAACCACTTACATATTTTTTGATTGTTGTTGGTATTGTTGCAAAATTATATTAAACTGTTCACTTTTGTTGCTTTTTTTTTTAAATCTTGTCTGGGGAATAAAAATTAAATATGAGTCACAATGTAAATTAAGAATGGGTATTTTTTGGTGGTTGAGAAAATACCATTTGAAAGTCAAAGAATACAAAATTTTAGTTAGCAACCCGAGTTTGGTTCCTCTAAATTAAATTTTCTAGCATTTCCCTGCTCTTGACTGAATAGCTAAAATATGACTAGTGGACTATTGTGGACACTTTGATGTTTCCAAAGGAAATTAAGACAGTCCCTGCACTTGCACAAGTAGAAGTGGGTTTTTCTTAATCAACATAGTCCTTAGAATTCAAACCTAATTTAGAAAAGTGTAATGCCCCCAGGTAATTATAGCTTAGGAGTCCCTGGGTGCTGTAAAGTGTTAACTTTCTTGGCTGCTAGCTGAAAGGTTGGAGAGTCAAGTCCATTCAGAGGTGCCTTGGAAGAAAGGCCTGGAGATCTACTTTTGAAAAATCTACCACTGAAAACCCTGTGGAGCATAGTTCTACTCTGACACACATGAGGTTGCCATGAGTTGGAATCGACTCAACAGCAGCTTGTACTATGGTTTAAACCCTTATTTAGAAATCATTTTGTTTTTCTTGATTGATGAATTGTTATTTTATTGGAAGGTTAGTCTAAAAATTGAAAATAATTTAAAAGATAAGATCACATTTATGACCATGCTTAAGGGTTAAGAAGTGTTGAGAAAAAGGAAGGTTGAAAAGAGCACAACAGCAAAAAGACTCACAAAAAATGAATATTTGAAACATTTTTTCACCCTTCTTTTATCTCTCCATTTAAGCAGTGATCTTACAGTTCTTTAGATTTCTGGGACTTTTGTAAATCTACATACAATTGAGGGTAATGATCAAAAAAGTATGTTGGTTTTTATTTTTCCAGTAAGAACCATCTTTAACTTCATGTTAGGTGGAGAAACAATATCGTTAATGGTAGCACAATAATTTTCCCCTAGATTCTCTTGTTTTTCTGTTACTTAATTCTTTAATGCAGGAGTGATATGAAAAGAAGATGCATGCTTTTTTTGTGGCTTTTGTATTAAAAAAATGAGTATTCTGAACCTGGAACCATTTGTAAGGCTCAGTGGATTATGTTGAATCCACAGTAATCCATGATTATCTCCAGAAATCATTGATATGAGCAAGGACAAAGCTAGGATATTGTGAAAGCTGATTTTCTTTCTCAGGAAGCTTTCATCAAACTTGATTTCTAGGTTATGAGATTAGAAACCAAATCTCTCATTCATGAGTAAATAATTGTTTGAAATTGTTTTTCACTACTAAATTTACCAAAAGTGCAAACTATAAAATGCTTTTATAGTCCATGTGCACATTTACCAAGTAGAAGAGAAATCTCATAGCGTTGGGCCTGATAGTTTACAGTCCTTAAAAATGTAAAGATTTGTTCATTTCAAGGTTTTTTGTGACGTTGGTATTGTGAGTGGTCTAGGGCTGTGGTTCTCAAAGTGTGGTCTCTGGACCAGCAGCATCAGCATCACCTGGGAACTTGTTATAAATACAGACCTTCTGAATCAGAAACCCTGGGCGGGGTGGGGGTGGGGGGGCGGTGCTGCCCAGCAGTCTGCATTTTCATATGCCCTCCAGTTAGTCACTGTCTCCAATCTGCCTTCCTTTGCCTCTTAAATGTGGATGGTGCTGTGTGTCACGCCTCACAAGGTTGAGTACAGATCAAATGTATTTGAGCACTGGAGGTTGTCACTGAAATTGTGAGGTGCTCTCCCCTGAGAACATGGAAAGAAAAATAAAAGATTGGTCTCTGAGAGTTAAACTCTAAAATAAACGTAGAAAGAGTCTGCACACACTGGCAAAATTATGTTAGTTAGAAGCAATAAACCCTAGGCCCAAAGCACTGTGTGAAGGAATTCACATGGCCTAGAAAGAAGAATGCGTCTAAAGAGGGCTTGATCAGTGTGGGGGAACGGAAGGGAGGATGGCAGGATGAGCCTGAGCCAGAAGTTGCAAACTGGCGGCCCCCAGGCTGAATCGGGCCCACATGTCCATTTCTTTGGTGCCACAGAGTATTGGGAAAAAAAGGATTTGCTGCCATATTTCAAATTCAAAGGGTTTCACCACTTAGAAACCCAGTCTCCCTTATTTTCTGAAAAAGCTGAGGACACAGGTTGGATGTACATAGTGCCTGACCCCTATATAAGCAGCTGCCACTTTCCATTCTGCCTCCCCAAGCCCTTACTCCAGCGCGTTCCACTCATTGACAAGTTGAGTTTGCCATCCCTGAACAGGGGAGAGGACGCTAAACAGATGACAGCTATACCAGTTGCTGTCGAGTCGATTCTGGCTCATGGCGACCCCATGTGTGTCAGAGTAGAACTGTGTTCCTCAGGGTTTTCAATGGCTAAGTTTTTGGAAGTAGATCACCAGGCCTTTCTTCCGAGGTACCTCCAGCTAGACTCAAACCCCCAACCTTTTGGTTAGCAGCTGATTGTGTTAATCATTTGCACCACCCAAGGACTCCTAAGACAGCTGTAGTAGTGAATAAATTGGCTTTCTGGCCTCTTAACCAAGTCTTTTTGAGATAGATTAATGTCAGTCTGCCCCTGAGAAATGATGGGGCTAGTTTTTTGTTTTTTTTAAAATTATTATTATTGTTGTAAAAGCACAGATAATGGGGCTAGACTTAGTATATTGACCGGATCGGTTTTCTGACTCTTCCTCTTCAAGCAGACTTTTAAAACGCTTGGAGAGCATGTCGCTGTGATGCAGGTAGTGATGACGGTGGCTGTGGTCGTCACTGTATGGGAGTCCCTGCTGGAGCAGGGGCTGGCCGGGCTCTGTTGGCATTCTTTAGCCCTGGTCTTGTGCCTCTTTGAAAAGGCAGAACCTACCCAGCTTTGGAGGCTGCTAAGATCTGCTCGTCCTTGGACACTTCATATTTTCTAAACTCAGAAGGCCCCTCTCAGTTTTTCTCTGCTTGCCCCATGAGGGACGTGGCGTATCTAGGTAGGGTCCTGGTGACGTAGGTAGATGAAGCGTGAACAGTCCTTCCACATCTTCCATGCTTCAGCCAAAACTGATGATGACTCTTTCTCCTTTTGTATTACAGGTACCTTTTGTACCTGCAAATTAAAAGAGATATTTTCCATGGCCGACTGCTGTGCTCCTTTTCAGATGCTGCCTACCTGGGGGCCTGTATCATTCAAGGTGAGTGTGGCCATGGCTTGCCCATCCCCACTGTTGTCCTGGGCTGCCAGGAGGTGTCTGCAGAGCCTCGGCTGCTGGGAGTCCTCCCCACTCCCCCGCCTGTGCCCATCCTGCCCCTGCCTGCGGTTGGAGACTGGGTAGGGTTGGGTAGCTTAGCACCTGAGCCCCTACACTCCGCCCTTCCCAAGCCATGGAGTCCTGAGGGAAGGCTGGGCTGAGGTGTTCACAGGGGCCTCTGCCAGACGCTGTCAGTAGAGCTCAGAGTCTCTCTGAAAGGGGTGGGCTTGTGGTTTTACAAAAAGCTCTGAAATGGCGTGGAATGTTTTATGTTTTGAGTTTAGGCCATCAGGTGTGGGGCCTCATAGGCACATTGAAGGGGAACAACTATGTCCAGGAAGATAGGTGTCCAGTAGGGGGGTTGTCCCTGGAGATATTTTTGCATGTTTATACGATACCCAATTCCTCGATTTTTTTGGCAATGTAATGTGGGGAGGAAAGGTCCCTCGGTAGCACAGATGGTTTGTGTTAAACTACTAACTTAAAGGTTAGCAGTTCAAACCCACTCAGCGGCACCATGGAAGAAAGGTCTGGCGATCTGCTTCCATTAAGATTACAGTTTACAAAACCCTATGGAGCAGTTCTACTCTGTAACACATGGGGTTGCTGTGAGTTGGAATTAACTTGACAGTAACTTTTTTTTTTTTTAAATATGGGGAGGAAAGCTCCGGTTCACAGTCTGTCAGCCTCAGTTTGAATCTCCCCTCACTCATTTCTGGATTATTTTACCATAGAGAAATTACTTAAGCTCTTTTAGCATCAGTTTCTCCAGCTATTAAGCGGAGGTACTAATGCCTCCTCGCCTGGCTGTGTGACGATTCCATGAGGGCCAGGCTGGCACAGGCTCCAACAGAGTGGAGGCTGCTCTTATTTTCAGGGTTGAACAAGGCATGGGTGCATGTGTGTGGGAGCATGGGGAACAGATGTTTAAAACCTTCTAAGGACAGTGGTTTGAGAGAAGGCAGTCTCCAGGACCCGAGGTAGCACATTGCCATGGCGATGGGCCCAGCATCCATGAAGAACAGACTCAGGTGTTCCTGTTCCCCTGGACCAGTTGGGAGGCAGCTGGCCACAGGGGCTGTCTGCAGCGACCCAGGTGAACCAGTCCTTTGTAGCATGTTTATGAGCTGGGAGGCAGGCAGAAGGAGGGAGGGAGAAGTTGGGAGACAGAGAGAGAGGCAGTCAGGCAGACTGAGGCAGAGACAGAGACAAAGTCAGAGACACAGAGATAAGAGAGAGATTACTGAGTGAGCATGTTAACCTTATGGCTCTGGGTTAACAGAGGAGCTTGTGATGGGTCATAAGTGGGTATGACAGTCATCTCTCTCACGATGTCAAAGACTCAGTCTTCACTCACTGCCTAAGAGAGAAGCCCTCATTCTGAGGATTTCACCATCACCTGTCACTGTCTTTGTGGGATGCTCTGTGCTGTTCGCTTGACCCTATTCTCAGGTGTGTGGTCTCTCTGAAAATTCCAAAGTGCGTGTATGTGTATTTTTTCCTCCTTCCCTGGGAGCAACCTCCTCCTCGGTATCTGGTTTTGGCAGAGATGTCACAACCCTCTGGGATATCCAAGTTTAAAGTGGTCATAATGATGGCAGTGCTGTGATGGGAAGTAGGAGAGTCCCTGCCGTCTGCCCCCAGGTGAAGTAGGTGCTTCTGAAAGTGGCCTCACACATCCGAGTGGAGGGATGTTAAAACCTCATAGCTGTTTTTCTTCATGTGAAGATCGCCAATTCCTAGTTAAGGGACTCAAGACGAATCTAAGCAACAGACCAGCATATGAGGATTTCAGAAGGCATTTAGACATTAGTGAATTATTGCCAGTTCTCCAAGGACAAGTTCAATATGGATCTCTAATGGAAAGCTCTCCATTCTATTTTATGTTTGAAATAAAGCCACAAAGGCACCATCCAGAAGACAAAGGCCCTATTTTATCCCTCCTTGCAGTTATCACTGCCCACACACACTGTATTAGCTGCTGTGGAGAGAGTAGAGCTGGAAATGGACTGGTGTCGTCGAAGGGACCTTTCAGCTCTCCAGTCTCCAATATGGTGAAGTCTATGCACCATCCATCGTGAATCAAGAGAAAGCTGATTCATTAAAGTCTGTGATGCTCAGGGTGAGCACTTCAGCAGCCCCTGAGATCATTTAGAAATGCAGATAACGATCTGCTTTGTCAGAACAACTTATTTTTACAGACAGTAATAGGGCATATGCAGTAAATGTGCAGGAAGTATGAGGCAGTGTGACTTTTCATTGGCTCCTTGTTTGCTAAAGCTGTTTGAAGGAGCATGTTTTAAGCTTCAGTATATTCTGGGCGTATAAAAAATAGTCGTCAACTCAGAGTTTTGCTACCTGTACATACTGGAAAAAGAAAAGCATATTTAATACATGCAATTTTTTTATAACTACATATTGCAAAACAAACACACAAAAATCACAGGGCTCTATTTATATCCTTTATTGTTAAAGATCTATTCTTTCTTCTTCCTTCTACAAAATAGCAGTATGGAGGGATTATTGTATGTGCTGTCTCCTCCGCCTGGTGTATTCAATTCCTATGGATGTTTTGGCTCCTTCTAAATATTCATACCAACATAACAGTGTTGTGGTATTGGTGAAGAATACTAAGTATCTCAAGGACTGCCAGAAGAATGATCAAATCAGTCTTAGAAGAAATACAACCAAAATGCTCCTTAGAAGCAAGGATGGTGAGACTTCAGCTTGTTTATTTTGGACACATCATCAGGAAACACCAATACCTAGAAAAGAACATTATGTTTGGTAAAGTAGAAGGTCAATGAAAACTAGGGAAACCCTCAATGAGATGGATTGACGCAACAGTAGACTCAAACATACCAACAGTCATGAAGATGGCACAGAGCGTTTCATTCTGTAATGCACAAGGTCACCATGAGGTGGAGCTGACTTAGCAGAAACTAACAAGTATTCAGGACTCAACTGAGATGTCACTTCCTCTGAGAAGTCTTCCTGGATTGCTCTATCTATCTTACCCCTCCAGCACATCATTCTTTATCACAACATCCTGTTTTGTTGCCTTTCAAGCACTTATATCTGAAAAGATCTTGTTGTTTTTGGATTGATTTATGTATTTCCCCCTATGTCGAATCCTATGGGAGTAGGATTTTGGGTCTTACAATATCCTAGTGCCTGGCACACAGTAGGTTCTCCAATAAATGCATTAAATGAATCAGTGCACTTGCCTGAATTGTGTGCTTTCTTGCTTTACTTGGGAAAGAGTGGTTGTTTGTCTGCTGGGAAGGTATTTACTACCTCATTCATTCATTTGTTGACATGTTCTCCAAATATTTATTAAGCAGCTGCTAGGTGTCAGGCACTGAAATACAAAGTCCCTTTGTGGAAACAAAAATAACAGGCAATTGTGACAATAAATTAATGGATAAATAGAGGGAAACATGGGCTGCTATGGGAGCCCTTCAAGGGACCCCTAACCCAACAAGGGTGGGTCAGGAAAGGATCTTGAAGGAGTTCACACTAGGGATGTAACATCCTGTATCTCCAGTTCTTGTGGAATGAACCCTCTCCAAACCAGGGAAATGCCATTGCCCAGATTGCCCCTTTTCACTCTACCACCTGATATTACATGTCTGACGTCAGTCTGATGACTAAGGTGCGCCTGACCCAAGCCATAGTCTTTTTAGTCATCTCATATGCGTGTGAACGTTGGACAATGAAAAAGGAAAATCAAAGGAAAACTGACACATTCAAATTGTGGTGTCGGCAAAGAATATTGAATATACCATGGACTACGAGAAGAACAAACAAATCTGTCTTGGAGGAGGTACAGCCACAATAGTCCTTAGAAGTGAGGATGGCGAAACTTCGACTTACTTTGGATGCATCATCAGGAAAGACTAGAATGACATCATGTTTGCTAAAGTGGAGGGTTGGAGAAAAGGAGGGGAACTCTCCATTAGATGGATTGACACAGTGGCTGTAACAGTGAGCTCAAACATAGGAACGATTGTGAGGATGACGCAGGACTGGGCAACGTTAAGTTCTGTTATACGTAAGGTTGCCGTGAGTGGGAGCTGACTTGATGACAGCTAACAACGTTACCTCACCCCTTTGCTTCAAACTCCTTGGATTTTTATGACAGTTGAGTTCTCTCAGAAAAATCTAGGGTTTGTTTCAAACTGTAAGTCTCCCAGTGTGCTGTATGTCACTGCTGCTTACCACAAACTGCTTACCCATCTCCTCTTGGTATAAAAACCAAAATTTGAATACTTAGAAGTTCTTAATCACTAAAAAACTGCCCCCTGCTTAAACTGAAGTAAGAGTTACAGACAAGCTTTAAGGGATGAGAGAGCAGAGTTTGTGATGGGGGAGGCATTGACCTTCACCTTGTCAGCAACCCTGTGTGGTTCCCACAGCAGTTTCTTCTCTAAATTTTCTGATATTTGTTAGATGACTTATTCGCAGCTCTTGGCCGTACAAGTCCCTTGCACCTTACAAGTTTTCCTGGGAAGAGAAGCGTCGCCACAAATAATCCCCCTCCCTCACCAAACACACCGCAAGCTCACGTTTGTATTGAAGATGACTTGGTGTCAGATAGCTGGCCCATTAATTGTGGAAGATGGAAACATTGGGTTATGCCACCTCCTAAATTTTTAAATTTCTAGACCCAAAGCCAGCTCAGAAGGCGATGTGCGTGTGTGCATGTTTGTGTGTGTGTGTTTATGTGTGCTTTCTTTTGGAACTTAGGGGCAGAGGGTTGAGTTAATCATCAATTCGTGACCTGCTGTCATCATTGGCCCCTTTAGGCCTGTCTATTGATTGATGGATTGATTTTCCTTTTTTTCCATTATTCTCCATTTCTATCCCCAAAGGACTGATGTGTATTTTTGACTTTGCATGTATCCTTATGAAATGATTAGCATTGTTTTGTGTGTGTATGTACTTTTAAATTTCATAAATTAAATGGGACTATAGAACCTATTTTATACCTTCCCTTTTATAAAATTCAGAACACTGTTTTGAGCTCTAGCCATGTTGCTCAGTATACATCTATTATGTGGCTTTTAAGAGCCACAGAGTGCCTGTGGTATACGTGTTCCATGTTTTACTCATCTATCCCAACGACAGTGAACACCCCTGTTGTTACCAGCTCCCGACTATTGTGAGCTATGTGTGATGAACGACCTTGAACATATCCTTTCATGGACCTAAAGTTTTTCTAGGATATATGCCCAGAAGTGGGGTTGCTGGGTCATAATATTGGACTAAATACGACCAACCTGCTCTCTAGAAGAGCTACACCACTTGGAATGCCCCTGGCAATGCACAAGGGTTTCCATTTCCTCACGTTTCTGGTAGCATGTAACATTTTCCAACGTTCTAAATATTTGCCAATCCTCTAGATGTAAAGTGATAGCCTCTTGTCATGGTGTCTCTGATTACTAATATGTTTGAACATTTCTTCATAAACTAGCCTGTTGGGTTTTTCTTCTGTGAATTGCACGTTCATATCCTTTGACATTTTTCTGTTGGTCTTCCTGATCATTTTCTTACTGATTTGTAGGAGTGTCTTCTTCATTCTAGATATTCGGCCTTGTCAGCTTTAGATGTTGCAAATATTTTCTCCCATCTTGCCGTTGCTCTATTACTTTGACTATGGTGTCCTTCAATTAACAGAAATCTTTCAATTTTGGTATGATCAAATTAATCAATCTTCACCCTGTGGGTGATGCTTTCTTTGAATCTTATTTTACAAGCACTTCCTCATGTGGTATACATTATAGGCTTTATAAGAACTTGGTAATTTGAATTCTATTAAGAAGCTTTAAAGAGTTTTCCTTTCCTCCTAGTTTTTCCCTTGTACTGTCATTAGATGATTTGACAATGAAGGGACAGTAGGTACAAATTACAGAGTTGGATGTGATCTTGCAGTTGTGCTCAAGGCATACTGGTTTTGATCTACTTTAAAGTCATGTTTGTGATGAGCTTCTTCTACTACAATTTTCCCACCATCTTTTTCTTTGCTCCTTTGCTGCACTCTATTTCTGCTTGAGATACTTGCTCCTTCTGGCTTGGTTTCTTTAGCAAGTTTATGAAATCAGAGAAAGTAATCCCACTGCCAGAAAATCACCAGAGCTGTTCCAGGCTGGGTTCCACACACTCATCTCTCCTAGGCCTTCAGGGTACTCAGATATGTGCAGATACGGCATTCTTTTACCCTAGAAGACTCCTGGAGGTGCCCTTTATTAAAATCCAGCACCGTCCCTTGCCTGGGGTGCACACCTGTCTTAGATACACATGCTTTAAGCTGAAGAGCAATCCATTCATTTTTAAGTGCAATCCCCTTGGCTTGCTTTGCATTGTGATTTTGCTCTGTAGGAGCACACACCTACACAAATCACACAGCAGGCAGCTCCAGCCAGGGAATTCCTAGACTTAGAGAATATGGGCCCTGAAAGGAACCTTGAGGAATGCTCAGTGGTTTCCAACTAGAGGCAGTACCACCTCCTGTCCTGTGAAGCACTTGTAAATATTGGGAGGAGGCATTTTTGATTGTCACATTATTTAGTGCCTGAGAGGGAAGGATGCTAAATGTCCTACAAGGCTTTGGAAAATCTGACACAGTAAAGGATTGTCTAGCCCCCAAAATGCCAATGGTGCCCCCACTGAGAAACATTGATTTAAATCATTTTATTATGCAAATGCCACCACCAGTCATACTGTGGTGGCTTATGTGTTGCTGCAATGCTGGAGGCTATGCCGCAGGACAGGTTTCAGCAGAGCTTCTGGACTAAGACAGATTAGGAAGAAAAGAAGATCTGCCTGTGAAAATTAGCCAGTGAATACCTTATTGATCACAACAGAATATTGTCCAACTCACTTGCTTTGGGCACATCATCAGGAGGGGTCAGTTTCTGGAGGAGGACATCATGTTTGAAGTAAAGGGCCAAGGAGGGCACGGAAGACCCTCGGTGAGATGGATTGGCACAACAGCCACGATAGTGGACGCAAACATGCTGGCGATTATAAGGATGATGCAGGACCTAGCAATGTTTCGTTCTGTTGTACATAAGATCACCATGAGTCAGCATTGACTTGATGGCAGCTAACAACAGTGACATTATATAGATGAAGAAAATGAGACTTAGGAAGTTTCAGACAAGCGTCCAAACTCACACAGCTAGATCTGAACAAGAATATGAACTTCGAGACATTCGGGCTGGGGTCTTTGCACAGACACAAATGTATTTGTTGGTTGTGAGCTTATTCCTAGCTCTTCTTTTGAGTGGTGGGAGACATTCCATATACACCATGCTCTTGTTGTTCTTAACCTTTATCTTTCTCTTTCTCTTTACTTTTTACTGGGTACAGCTGAGCTTGGTGATTACGATCCTGATGAGCATCCTGAGAATTACATCAGTGAGTTTGAGATTTTTCCCAAGCAGTCACAGAAGCTGGAAAGAAAAATAGTGGAAATTCACAAAAATGAACTCAGGTAATATGGGTAGACATTTGTAAGAATGATAGAAATGAGACAGTATTCTTGCTGCAGGGAATGTGGAAATCGTGCTGTGAAGTGAGAATATTAGTGATGGATGGGTAGACTTTCAGGTGGCAGAGCAATATTCTGGGCACTGTCAAGAAAAAGGGGCTGCTGACTCTGTGGTGTTCTCCATAAATAAGAATCTCAGTAGTAGGGGGTCTCCTGGGTGACTGTTTATGAATCATCAGCAGTTATTAGAGCCATATATTTTCTTACGTATATGGGCCTCTAAATAGTTTCTGAAAGTGAAATATGGGGCAAATAAGTAATCCCTTCTGTTTTGAGTTTTGCATTGCCTCTCCCCCGCATAGCCATTGCTAGAAGCATTAACTCCAAGTGGAGTAGGAGCCATCGACAAAGTTTCCTTTGTTGAGCAGCTTTCAGATGATAGAATGAGCATTCGCTCCTCCTTTCTTAGGCTATGATGCTTCAGGATGATTGTTTCTGACTGTTCTAAGCCCTTTACATCTATTGACTCATTTAATCTTCACAACAACTCTGTGATTATTCCCATTTTATCCATGAGGGAACCGAAGCACAGAGAGGTTAAGTAACTTACCCAAGGTCACACAGCTAAAAGTGATAGAGCCAGGGTTTGAATCCAGGCAGTCTGGCTTCCAAGTCTGTGCTCTGAAGCACTGTGAGATGGTTCCTTTCTACATAGGCTACCAGGAATGAAATGAAACCTGTGTAGGAATCAGCACCAATGTGGAATCAGGTAACTTATGTATTCTATAGTTAGGAACTAGGGTTTAGATTCTAGGCAAATCACAGAAAAATTATCTCTGATCATAAAGCAAGCATGGGTTGGGTTTAACAAATATTGATGAAGAACTGTAGGGTCTGAGATGCTCCCATCTTCTGGGCCGCTGGTAATTATAAAGAAAATAGTGTCTCCAGATTGTGAATTCTGGAACAAATAGCTCTGTCCCCTGTGAAGGAGTGTTTGTGCTCCCTGCTTTATGCACGCACTCCCCCTTCTGGTGAGTCTGAGAAGAGTATATGTGTGTGCTTTAAAGGTGGCAGTGTATTTCAGCTTGGAAAAAAATTGTCTTTGTTCTTAGAAATAAAGATGATTAGACATCAAGAAAATTGTAAAAAGTACAGAAAGCAGTATACTGTATTTATGGATAATTGTAGAGTAATGTCTCCTAATGAAAAGCTTTGCTGAAAATATATGAAACTATTCTTTTTACATTTTGGAGAACAAGTATGCTAGAGGTAAAAATAAACAAAACAAACAAACAAAAAACGCATTGCTGTCAAGTTGATTGCGACTCATAGCGACCCTATAGGACAGAGGAGAACTGCCCCATAGGGTTTCCAAGGCTGTAAATCTTTACGGAAGCAGACTGCCACATCTTTCTCATACGGAGTGGCTGGTGGGTTCAAACCACCGACCTTTTGGTTAGCAGCCAAGCCTTTAACCACTGCACCACCAGGGATCCTAGAGGTAAAAATAAAGTCCCAGTATTCCAGTTGAGGGATCTGTGGTATACCAGTGACCTGGTGTGCAGAGGCTGAGAACCTTTGGACTAAAGAGTCACATCCACAGTGTGGATTGGTTGAAAAAAAAAAAACAAAAAAAAACCCAGATACTGTCGAGTCAGCTCTGATTCGTGGCGACTCCATGAGTGCCAGAGTAGAACTGCACTCTACAGGGTTTTCAATGGCTCATCTTTCAGAAGTAGATCACCAGGCCTTCCTTCTGAGGCACCTCCAAGTGGACTTGAGCCTCCAACCTTTTGGTTAGCAGCAGGGAGTGTTAACCATTTGCACCACCCAGGGACTCCTTGCGGATTGATAAGAGATGAGAATTGAAAGGTCTTCTGTGATCAGAATTTGCGAGGCCTCAAATGCTTAGGATGTGTGATCATAATAAATACTTTGTGAGCACTTACTGCATGCCAAGCACAGTGCTAAGTGTTTTACAGGCATTATCCCATCAGTCCTACTGAACTGGGTAGATACTGGTAGTGTTTCCAGTCTGAGATATGGAAATTACAACCTGGAGTGGTTAAAAGACTTACCCAGTTAGTCAGTGGGAGTGTCGGGACTTCAGCCTTGGGTTGTCCGACAGTAACACCCGTGCTCTTTATCTGCTGTGCTGAACAGTCCTCAAGGAATCAGGCAGTCGATTTGCGTTTCACAGTGATCATCATGGCAATGGTGCCAGAGGGTGAAGACTGGGTGTGGGAGGGCCAGTTAGCAATTTCTGTTGTCTAGACTAGACAAGAGATGACAAGGACCTGATAAAGAATAGGAGTCAAGGAAATTGAAAGAAGAGAGTCTCAAGAGACAGTTCAGCAAGCCTTGGTGACCCACTGGATTTCTTCATGAGGAAATGGATGAACCAAGGAAGATTCCAGACTGCTTTTTATACATAATTAGAAATTTGTAGATCGGGCCTGGAGTTGTTGATATCCATGAAAGTAGTCATCATGCACCAGGGAATATAGAGGGTCATCAGTCAGCCACAATTTATAAATCTAAGAAATAAATTCCATGGTTTGCTCAGAGCTGCCTTTCTGAGGATGTATAGTGCTATGCATTTGTAACATCCAGAATGCCCTTGTGAAGAAGCCCAAGTTGTATGTCTGGAGGATGAACCAGCTGGAAATCATAGGGTATTCCAAGGATAGTTTCATGGGGATATTTTCCTGTGTATTTTTGCTCATCCTCCCCAAGTAGTCAAAGTAGTTCCTTCTGCATCAGTACAGCAGAGAGAGATTTTAGATTTGGCTGGAAAGCCAAGAAGAGCAGAAGAAGCTGACAGTGCAGAGGGAGAGGAGCTTTCTAGAGTGGATGGGGAACCTGCTGTAGAGACTGAGGCTGCTGTGGGGCCCAGTGAACCCTTCTCACACCAGTCACAAAAGCGTTGACTTGTGTGAGGAATCAGACCTTGGTTGGATTGCTCTGCAAACCCAAGTGTGCCAGGAAGCTGAGGAGACCTGAAAAGGCTGCACCAAGGTGTGACTCTCTTCCTCTTCAGGGTCATTGTGGCACCGATGATCCTCACACGGCAAAGGAACAATATGCGACAAACTGTTATTCCAGAGACTTTCTGAGGGAATCCCAGTTGGCCTTGGCTGGGGTTTGAGGGGCTCAGTAAATAAACTCCTTCTTCCTACCTGGTTTCTGAACTGGATGAGAAATAAAACAAAAGGGATGGCAATAGAGACACTCAGATATTAGCAGAAGTGGTGGTGGTAGTGAGGATGATGATGATGGTGATTTAAAATGGGGTAAACATTATTGTGTGTGGAGGTTCACAGCCTTCTCCCAGCCCATTTCCTTGATCAGAATTGTTCTCCTCCTGTGATATCTAATGATGGGACAAAAGCTGTGATTCTTGGGGGAAAATAAATTGGAGAGGAAGAAGAGCTGCTTCCCCCCCAACCTTCACACTACTTGAAGGTGGAACCAAAATGGCTTGATAAGCAGGCACAGATAAGAGAGTTCTTTAGGGGCAGGGAGTTGAGAGACTTGTTGGGGTTTTGAGGTACTTGGAAATAAAAGACCAAGCTTTTAGTAAGTGTGTCCATGGACTGAATACTTGAACTCCTTTAGATATTCAAGAGATTTGTAAGTAAAGACTGAAATTCATGCCTGGGTCAGATTTTCTTCTTTAAATGTGCCATATCTTTGACTGAACTGGAGGGTAGAATGGAGAGAAGTCACAGTTTTATAAGCTGTACTGATTATAGTTATTGATCATTTCTGTATTAATCAGGATAAGTTAGATTTTGCTGAGAGAACAAACATCCCCCAAAGCTCAGTGGTTTAGAACAAGAAGGTTTATTTCTTGCACCGTTCTATGTCCACCAGAAGTCAGCTGGGGGGCTCTGCTCATCCGTGTCACTCAGGGCAACCATGAGCTTGAATTTGCCAGTTGTTGAGCCAAAGGGAAAGAGAACTCTGGAAGATCTTGCTTCACCATAAAAGTGATACAGGTCACTTCAGCTCACAGCTCACTGGCCAGAACTAGTCACATGGTCCTACTCAACCACGAGGAACTATAATCCTATAAGGTGTCCAGAGGAGGTCTGAGCTGGAAACATCTGGCAAACGACTCTAAATGGCCTTCACAATCTCATTGACAAATAGATTTTTATTTAGAAAGATTCTATAGAGGCATCTTTGGACCTTTTAATATCCTATGAACTGGAGGGTATAAAGATGTATGATTCACATTATTGAACAGATATTGGTGCTAAAACTCATGGAAGTGGAATGATTCTAAATCAGGAGTAGATACTATTTCTGGGCCACAAGGTCTCTGTTATAACTACTCAACTCTACCTTTATAGTGCAAAAGCAGATATAGACAATAAATAAATGAATGGTTGTGGCTGTGTTTCAATAAAACTTTATGGACAAAACAGGGGGCAGGCCAGTTTTGACCAAGGTCTGTAGTTTGCTGACTCCTATTCTAGACACTTTGCAGAACAGATCTAGAAACAATTTCTGCTTCATTCTCCTTCCGCTTCAGATAATTTTAGGGCAACATGAACCATGTTTGTTTTCAAAACTATGTGTAAAAAGAATCTCTTTTAATCATAAATTGCATTTGCGTTTGAGTTTGGCAGAGATGAGGTCCTAGGACTGGGACTGCTTTAGAAATAGGTTGTTCCTCCTTCCAGAGCCCTCTGGTGGCTGGAGGAAGCCATTGCCACAATCCCTGGGGACTTGAAAATTAATTCTCCATGTTATTTTTAGCCGTCTTGGTTTCTATGTTGTATAGCTTTAATCATGGTCGTCTGGCTTAGGAAGAAATACCCATTCTGTCAGTCCTGAGGGTGCTCAGAGGGGGCTGAAGATCAAGAATAATACTGATTTCACTGCAGGAACCCTGCTAGGCTTCTCTGGAAGTATTTCCTAGAGTTCAGGTGAGCTACTCTTATCGTCCTCTTATCGCCAGTTCATCAGGTTTGTCATTAGAGGCAAAGACA